TTAGTTTAAAGCGTATGTCTTTGTTTGTAAACTACTTTTAATTAAAATTATTTTGATTTTGTTGTGTTTTTTGGATTGTACAGCACTTTGTATCAACTGTGGTTGTTTTAAAGTGCTTTATAAATAAAGCTGGTATGGTATGGTATGGTATGGTATGGTATGGTCGTAGGTGTAGCTAAAGTTAGACACAATAAAAACCCAGAGTGGGCACAAGGTCTGACTCAGAGTGGAATGAGGTTAACAGGAAGACGACCTGGAGTTACCTCTGACGCCCTCTGAGTGGGGGGGCTTGACTCTTAGCGTCACTTTTGAAAAACCTGGTGACAAACAGGAGGCAGAACCAGTAACTGACCACAAAATGAGCAGCTTTAGACTAGGTTTAACTAACCTGAATGTGTAGTTTTTACTTGTTTAACTCATTGACTGGCAGCCATTTTCAGAACAGATAGTCCCATACTGCCAGAGTTTTTTGAGCAATTTGACTGATTTTTCAAGAGCCACAGAATAGTTTGTGCTATGACTATGTAAACACCGAACACACCAAAAGAAAGAGTAGACTCTCTTCTTTCATCAGGAAAATTTTTTTGTTTCTCCCTTATTCCGTTCTTCCTGGACGTGCGTCTCACCGGCGACATGTTCTCTCATAGAACCGTTAGCTTTTTCTTATTTGCCTACAGTCTATGCTCATCTCCCATCAAAAGTGGCACTGCCCCCTAGAGGGTCAATTTGTTACTACATACTCTGTCTAGAAGCCGATATTTACGGACAAGCTTTAGCAGATCGTCCCCCAGCCACTCTCGTTGAAAAACATAAAAGACGTCTATAGACGTCTTTGGCAGCCAACGAGTTAGTGGATGCTAATCTTGTCTGATTTGCTCTTATTCCACAGCTAATAACCAATCGTTTTGGGACGATAAGAAAGCAGTCTCCGTGGGGACTTTGGAAATCTACCCAGGGGCCAAAAAAACCACTGTGAAATGCTTCGTCCGGCGCCCGGCAGAGCACTCGGAGCCTCTGATGGACTCTATCAAAATCGGGGTCAAAGGTGAGTCCGGATTTAAACCTCTGAGCCTGGACCAGGAGTGAAAGTGAAAGTGAAAGTGAAAGTCGCTGCCCCTTTC